GACATTGAGAAATCCCCCATTGATGCACCTCCTTATTCTCCTATGTAAAAAACACTAAGACACATCTTGACTGTCTAAACTCTAAAGCCATACTTTGACCGACAGTTAGTCCACTTATATATGACTTATGTTACACAAAATAGACACCATTGGATTTGTGTTCAAAAAAGACTTTCTTATACTTATGATTTTATAACCACTAACAAAATACTGTATAACAAATTTATGGTCAAAGGTCCTATATTTTTAAATTGATGGAGTACTGAACAATCGGCTTCATGATTGCACATCATACCTGATGAAAGGTCGTTGCATATATTTAATTGTTGAGACTTGAGACAGCAAAACTGATTACTCCCTCTGTTGAGGAATATGAGGCGTATTTCACTTTTCAAAGTCTCCAATGCACGACTTTTACTATGACTTGTGGACATTCACAGTTTCACCTGTAATATGCCTACAGAATAGTAAAAAGATATACAACATAAGAGAATTTTGCAAGACAAATACTCCCTCTGTTTCATTTCACTTTTTATAAAGTCTCCAATGCACGACTTTGGAAAGTTTGACCAAACTTATATTGAAAAATATCAATATCTACAGTGAATGTTGGTATTTTTTTCTATAAACCTGGTCAAACTTTAAAAAGTTTGATTTACGACAAACCTAATATGCAGAGTAAAAAGAAACGGAGTACTATGATTTGTTCTTTCATGCTTAATATCCTTTTGCACGTACTAGAGGACAAAGTTTTCAAACACTGACTGCACGAATAATAATGTGCCATATATTTCGGTGCTTCTATGTAAGTGCAGCTGCTTTGTTAGAGGGTAAACCAAACACTAATTATGACATCAGTCTCTAAGAATTCTTGATTAAATTGTAATGGTCATGTGGCGCAACAGGAGTCTCAATGTGAGAGATTTTATCTAACCTTATGCCTTGGCATAACTGCTGCCATGTAAAATGGAGACGAGTCTGCCGGCCACTTTCCCTCGGTGGCCTTTTTTTTTCGAAACCCCTCGGTGGCCTTGGCGTCCAGGACATTGATAGAGCAGGGCTTGCGCTGCGATTGAGATGGCAATGGTTCAGCAGGACGGAGACTGGGCGAGCTTGGGCTGGCCTTGACCTGCAGTTCTCGGTAGAGGAGCGCTCATTGTTCTTTGCCTCCACCAGCATGATCATTGGCAATGGCCAAACGGCCTTGTTCTGGGAGGATCGCTGGATCGGGGGCAAATCTGTGAGCGAGATCGCCCCAAAGCTATATGCCTGCATCGCTAAGCGAAGACGAAAACTTCAATCGGTCACTGACGGGCTCCATGCACACGCCTGGACACGCGATATCCACGGGAACCTGGGCGTCCACGAGATTGAGCAGTACCTGCTGCTTTGGCGAACCATTGAGCACACCACCCTCTCAGACGAGCCGGATCAGCTGATCTGGAAGTGGAGTGCCAGCAGCACATACTCTGCTCGTTCTTGCTACTTTCGAGGGATCCACCAGCTGCAGCGCTTCAAAGCTCATTTGGAAGAACTGGGCACCGCCGAGAGTGAAGTTCTTTCACTGGCTAGCCAACATGGACAGGTGCTGGACTGCCGACAGATTGCAACGCCGCAGCCTACAGCACCACCCTCGCTGCCTACGTTGCACTGTCCTGAATCCTCATCTATACAAACATTTGAGGACACAGAACCTCCAAGTCTTTAACTCTCAATACCTGTACATCACCAACGGGTATTAGAGATTATAGTAAGAATTAACCATGCAATGCAATGTTATCTACATGAAGAAAAAAAGCAATCTCACTTACATGATCAGGGTACTATATACCAGTTTTGACAGAAAGTGCGTGCAATATGGGTATATAGCAAAGCATGTTACTTTTTCGCAGAGCTCTAACAAGCACAAAATAAACTCGAATGTCCGGGAAAACACCAACAGATAACATAATCGGAATGAACATGATGGCTTCTTTAGGAAATTTCCTTTTGCAAAGTCGATTGATTGCAGCACTGAAGTCTTCAATAGAAGCTTCAAAACCATCATCAATAAGCTTACCAACTAATGAAATGGCATCGTAAGGCATTCCTTTTGCACACTGAGCTTTGATTACTGTTGTATATGCAAATTTTCTCAATTCAATGCCCTTTTCTCTGAGGGATTCCAATAGCATTTCTGCTTGAATAACTTTCCCCTTCAAGCACAGCACATTGATAAGCAAGTTATAAGTAACAGGTGTGGGCACTAGACCACAGCATAACATACGGTCATGTATGCAGAAAGCCATCTGGATGTCCTGTGCTTCGCAAAACCCTTGTATAAGCGTATTGTAAGTTATTGGGTCGGCTCCATCCATATTGTTCAGAAAATGGATAGCATCACGGAATCTGAGCTGCTTACATAGTCCTTTAATAACAACACTGTAAGTTACAGCATTTGGCTTGATCCCTTTTCCCACCATTTCATAAAAAAAACTGAGCATAGTGTCAACTTTTCCAGCTTCAGAGAGTGCATCCATAAAGGTCGTGTATGTTACTGCTGTTGGCAGCAGATTACTTATCTCAATAGCCCTGAAATAGCTCTCTGCAGCGTGTAAATCCCCAAATTTGCAATAGCCATACAGAAGAGAATTACATGTGATAATGGTTGGATTCATACCAGCCACAACAATCTGATCATACAGACAGACAGCATTACCAATATCGCCAACCTTTGCATAACCATCGATAACTACATTATAAAGTATTACATCACCTGGCTGATATCTGCTAGCTACATTTTCCAAATACCATCTTGCTTCAACTAGAAGTCCTTTCTTGCAAAGTCCAAGAAGAATTGATAAATGGTTCAGTGAGGTTGGCACTACCTTCTGAGAACAGCACATAACATCACAAACTTCTAGTGCCCTTTCAATTTCGCCTAGCTTGCAGTAGCCGTGGATGAGGATGGAATATGCAATGACATCCATATCTAGACCAATACTATATATGTCACCAAGTAAGTTCTCCACCTCATAGACCAAACCCTTTTTGAAGAGAGCATTGAGAAGGACACTGTATGTGACAATATTCAACTGCAGCCCTTTGTCTAGGATGTCCTTTCTTATCTTCATCCCTTCTTCAACATCACCACCTTCACAATGACCAGCAATAAGTATGGTATAAGTAACAAGATCAGGTTCAATCCCTTGGTATCTCATAAACTGAATTATTTTCGGAATTTCTCTTGTCAAACCAAGCAATCGATAACCATTAATAAGGCTGTTGTAGGTGACAGTCTCGAGTTTCATTCCTTCTTTTGTCACTCTCTCAAGAAGATCCACTGCTTCATCTAGGCAACCTACTTTACACAGACCATGTATAAGAGTAGAATAGGTATACCTGTTAGGCTTTAATCCATACTTCAGCATCAGACATAAAAATGATTTTGCAGGCTGAATAAATCCCCAGTTACACAATGCAGACATCAGAGTGTTAAAGGACATTCCCAATGGTCTAAACGTCCCCCCTTCCCTTGCCTCTTGAAGGAAAGATAAAGCCTCTCCAACTTTATTTTGCTTGCAGAGGCCATCGATGAGAATGCTATGTGAATATTCGCTGTGAGAGATACCATATGCCTCCATTTCATCAAAAAGCTCCAATGCCATGTCTGTCTTCCGTAGACCATACAATAAACTATCATAGGTGGAAACTGATATTTGCATATTCAGGCTGTTCATTTTACTGAGAACGTAAAGAGCATCATGAACCATCTTAGTTCTTGCATAACTATTTGCTAGAGCATCCCATACAACACCGCTGGAATCATACTCTCTGAACTCACTCCACAAGATATCACAGAGAATGGCTGCAGACCCGGATCCTAGAGTAGAAAGGGCAATACAATGAAATGTGAGAACTGTGAGCTTTAACTGTTATATGTTGCTGCACATGTCAAGGCAACAAGCACTAAAAATAGTATGACCAAGATTACAGCTGGCAATTATATTGTTAAAGGCATATAGAAGAATATCTGTGTATGCATGACGACAGTATCCATTTATTCACGAACAGAGGAATTTTACACACTTGTGCTTTCACTAATATTTCAGTTTTTTCTCTGGTGTACATGATAAAATGGTCATGACCCTGGAATAACACAACCCCCTTGCCATATCAATCCAAATTCAAAAGATGAATAAGCGTGTTTGCATACTATCCAAAGAGATAGTGCCAGCTATAATACAAATCCGTAGGGAGCTCACCTTGTTCGCTGACCACCTGCGCCAAGCCGCCCCGCATCTCCCGCCACCTCCTCTGCCGCAGCAGTTCATAGCAGAGCTTGAACCGCGCGGCAATCGAGGCCTTTCTAACGGACTCCGCCTTGCTCTCCCCAAACCTAGGCGACCCTCCTGGCCTGCCCACAAAATGAGGCGCTAGCCGTGGATCCCTAGCAACCACGGCGTCCTCCTCGGAATCCGTTGCCGCCGCCACGGCTGCCGCGGAGGGATATGAGGATATGGGCCTAGGGATATATGCGAGAGGAGGCGAAGGGCGGCGCCAGAGTTGAGGCAGGAGGAGGCGGAGGGGAATGGGCGGTCGGAAGCGCATCCGAAGGGGCAGGGTCTCATGGCGGGGGCGCGCGCTGCGGGCTACTGTGTGGAGGTCGTCGAGCTCGAGCTTCCCTCGCGTTGAGCTTCCGTGTGCCTCCGCGGAGCTGCCACGGCGGCGTACAACATGGGAGGAGGGAGGAGGATCGCCGGCGGCGGCTGCGTGTGGTCGGGGTTTAAGCCAAGGGGTTACCCTTTCAACTGAGGAGGAGAGAGCCAGAGGGGAAGCAGGCCGAGCTCAGGGCCCGTCGGCAACAGCTCCCGCTCCGACCCGGAGAAAACCGACCGTTCGGGAAGCCTGGGCTGATAGCCCATACAGCGCAGATGCAGCCCGTTCGGGTGGAGAGAAAAGCCCAGCTCGAGTGCGCAAAGGCCGAGGTCGCGTCGGGGTGAGCAGGGCTTCCCACCAGAGAGACGCTACGCTACGCTCATCTCAAAAACAAAAAGGAAAGAAAAAGAAAAAGAAAACGCTACGCAGGCGGTGCGTTGGTGGCACTTTTTTTTAACACAGTACAAACGCAATCGCTCATATACACGCGTATACATTTGCCCTTATGAACGCACACACACACATCCTACCTCTATGAGCACCTCCGAATGACTGAGACGACATATCATCTTGAAATTTACAAAGTCACCGTAGGCACCTCGTTGTCGGAACATCTCCTCCTACTGAATGCACATCGCCGGAAATCCTGAAATAAATCCAGGAATAAATGCGAGCATCAGGATTTGAATTCTAGTGGGCTGGGGATACCTGTAACACCCTCGATGCGACTATAGCTCCCACGTGTCGAGACACGACTTAGAGACATAATCGTATTGAAGGCATATGTCGCAAGTTAGTCAATCTTCACAACATCTCATGTAATATATAGATAATAAAAGGGGAGATAACATAGTTAGCTTACACTCGCCACGTCAATCAAGTACATAAATAACATTATATCATTCAAACACTCATGGCCCGACTACGGCGCCAAAATAAAAAATAACCCAACATACAACACGGTCCCGATCACCCCCAACTGGGCTCCACTACTGATCATCAGGAAAGGAAACATAGTAACGTTGAGAGTCCTCGTCGAATCCCACTTGAGCTCAAGCGCGTCACCTGAAGCGGAATCATCAGGCCATGCATATGATGTAATAGTAATCTGTGAGCCACAGGGACTCAGCAATCTCGCACCCTCGCGATCAAGACTATTTAAGCTTATAGGTAAGGTAAGGTAAATATATGTGGAGCTGCAGCAAGCGACTAGCATATATGGTGGCTATCCTGTGCGCAAAAGAGAGCGAGAAGAGGAGGCAAAGCGCCAACGAGAAACTAGAGGGCAACCTGCGCAAGCATTACTCCAACACCGTGTCCACTTTCCGGACTCTGCCGAGAAGAGGTCATCACGGTAACACACTCAGTTGATTCATTTTAATTAAGTTAAGGTTCAAGTTATCTACAACCGGACATTAACAATTCCCATCTGCCCATAACCGCGGGCACGGCTTTCGAAAGTTCAAATCCCTGCAGGGAAGTCCCAACTTAGCCCATGACAAGCTCTCACGGTCAACGAAGGAATAGACCTTCTCCCGAGACGTTCCGATCAGACTCGGTACCTCGGTTCTTCAAGACACTTCGACAGGTTAAAACTAATCCAGCAACACCGCCCGAATGTGCCGACAAATCCCGATAGGAGCTGCACATATCTCGTTCTCAAGGCACACTCAGATTGTCCAAACTTCCGGTAGGCCAGCCCAGAGTTGCCCCTGGTGGCCACCGGCGGCTGACGAGGTGGACCAACACTCAGAGGAGCACTGGCCCGGGGAGGGGGGGGGTTTAAAATAAGATGACCCTCGGGCTCCGGAAACCCAAGGGAAAAGGGGCTAGGTGGCAAATGGTAAAACCAAGGTTGGGCATTGCTGGGAAAGCTTTAATCAAGGCGAACTATCAAGGGGTTCCCATTATAACCTAACCGCGTAAGGAACGCAAAATCCAGGAACATAACACCGAAATGACGGAAACTAAGGCGGCAAGAGTGGAACAAAACACTAGGCGAGAGGCCGAGCCTTCCACCCTTTACCAAGTATATAGATGCATTAAGATAACATGGCAATATAATGATATCCCAACAAGTAAATAAATGTTTCAACAAGGAACGGTCTCCCATCTTCACCTGCAACTAGCAACGCTATAAGAGGGGCTGAGCAAAGCGGTAACATAGCCAAACAATGGTTTGCTAGGGCATGGTGGGTTACAGGTTTGACATGGCAATTTGGGAGGCTTGAAAGCAAGTGTTAGGCATCGTAGCATTGGCATAGCAAAAGAGCGAGCATCTAGCAAAGCAAAGATAGTAGTGATTTCGAGGGTATGATCATCTTGCCTGCAAAGTTGTCAGAGTTGACTGGATCCTCGAAAGCAAACTCAACGGGCTCCTCGTTAGCGAACTCGTCTCCCGGCTCTACCCAAACAAGACAAACAAGCAAATGGAACACAATTAACCACGTGCAAAGCTCGAACAATATGATGCAAAGATGGTATGCTATACGGGATGCGATGTGGGATGCATATGCAAGATTTGACAAGGGATGCATGAACCTGGCCTCAAATTGGAAATCCAAGTGTGCCACTGGAAAGATGAGATGAAATCTCTTGAAAACGATATAAAGAACGCCGGAATCGAAGTTACGGTTTGGAAATGGCAAGCAATTCAAATATGGCCACGTTCTGCGATTTTACAGCAAGTAGCCATCTAAATGCAACGAGATAAACATGCTACAACACCCAAACATGGCATCAAAATACATGGCAGGGATGCATTCAAGATGCTTAACAAAAGTCTAGCACTGAGCTACGGCCAATTCATCCATTAACAGGTTCAAACACGCATGGCAAAAATGCATATGGTAAACAGATCTCAGACTTAGTGAAATTAACACTTGTCTGGAATTTCAGATCAGATAGCACTCTTCGGAGCAACAAAACTACATGCTACAGGACATGAACATGGAAAATTAAAGAATGACATGGAGCTACTCAAAGAGCTTAACAAAAGTCCCTTAGTGACCTTGAGCCAAAAGGGATCAGAAAATACATTTGCAAGCATGTGAACATGGCAAAAACATAATCAAATCACGGACTTAGTGAAAACTGGAGCATGCTGAAAACATATATCAAGTAGGCATGTTTACGAGCTCGATGCACTCACCACGGAGCAAGTCATGATAATCTAAGCATACACCCATCAAGAATACACAAAATACAAGCTAGACATGGCAAGAACAATATCATAGCATGCACGGATCAACTACAACATCATCGGCAAAATTGCTAACAAGTAGACAATCTGCCCAGATTCATGAAGTAGCAAAAGTAGAGCTCGATTGACTCAAGCTAGGGTGCTCCATAATTGCAAATAAAGACATGGATGGATAGAGCACTACAAGATTAACAAAACATCCTTACTTAGTATTCTCAAAAGAGGCACGAATCACTAGGAAACAACATGAACGTATGGCCATATGAGATAAACAGCTCAAGGACTTAGTGGAAAAAGCTAAGTCCCTGAAATCAGCATTACCAAGTGCCTCACTTTGCAAGCTTGTGCTAGTCACCACACACATCACAAAAATACATGGGTTGCACCTCTGGAAAGATGGCAAAACCCTTAACAAAACATATGTAGAACTCATGGGCATATCATGCACACAATAATCATGGCAAAAATGACAAATAGCTAAATGGAGTAGCAGATCTGACAATTATCCCAAGTAGAACTCTTCTAACAGCATTTCGGGCATCAAGATGAACTCAAATGAAAATGATGCAATGAAATGAAATGATGTACTCTCTGAAATGAACATTTTGATATGCTAAATGCCCAAAACGAAGCTATGGATGAGGAGTTACGGCATGATGAAGTTGCAAGAAAAATATAAGGGAGAGGGGGAAAGTCAACCCTGAGATCTAGGGTTTACTGTAGCAGCAGATCGGGAGCACTGTAGCAAGCCACCGGATCTAGGTCACCGGGGACGTCGTTCGCCGGAGACGAGGCGGGGCGGCCGGATCTCTCGTCGGAGAAGTCGCCGGCGTCGAGGAGGAGGTCGCCCGGAGCTTCAAGGAGGCGGGACGAGGCGTCGCGGGGCGGCACCGGATCTGCGGCGGCGTCAGGCTTGGCGGCGGAGGCGGAGGCGGCGAGCGGGCGGAGATGGTGCGGCGGCGGAGCTCGCCGGTGCCGGAGTTGATGGCGGAGAGCGGCGGCCGGCTCGGGCGAGGAAGGAGGAGGCGTGCGCGGGCGGCGATGCCCGGGAGGGCCTCCCGCGGGCTTGCCGGGCTGGTGGCGCAGGGCGGCGGCGCCTGCCACGTGGCGCGATGGGAGAGGGCGGCGGCGATGTTGTTGGGGAACGTAGCAGAAAACAAAAATTTTCCTACGGTTTCACCAAGATCCATCTAGGAGTTCATCTAGCAACGAGTGATTAGATGCATCTACGTACCTCGTAGATCGCGAGCGAAAGCGTTCAAAGAACAGGGGTGAGGGAGTCGTACTCGACGTGATTCGAATCATCGAAGATCCTAGCACCGAACGGACGACACCTCCGCGTTCAACACACGTACGGAACAGCCACGTCTCCTCCTTCTTGATCCAGCAAGGGGGAAGGAGAGGTTGAGGGAGATGGCTCCAGCAGCAGCACGACGGCGTGGTGATGATGGAGCTGCAGTACTCCGACAGGGCTTCGCTAAGCGCTATGGAGGAGGAGGAGGTGTTGGAGAGGGAGAGGGAGGCACCAAAGGCTGAGGTATGAAGTCCTCCATCTCCCCCACTATATATAGGAGGGCCAAGGGGGGGCGCCGGCCCTAGGAGATCCAATCTCCTAGGGGGGCGGCGGCCAAGGGGAGGAATCCCTCCTCCCCAAGGCACCTAGGAGGTGCCTTCCCCTCCTAGGACTCTTCCTCCTTGAAACCCTAGGCGCATGGGCCTCTTAGGGCTGGTGCCCTTGGCCCATGTAGGC